AAAATAATAATAATAACGAGGAGGTGTAATTATGATGACGATGCCTTAATTAAATGTGATTTCTTTATCGGTTAATGCATAAATATATAATAATAATATTATTAAATGTGCTTTTGTGTGTGTCACTGTTTGCGTCGGTGGTGGTGGTGGTGATGGGGGGGCTTGGCCGACGGTTCTTCCCTCCCCGGGGGTCCGCGGTGGGAGTCATGGCTCAGGGAGATAAAAGCGTATCGGCTTCTGGTCGCATCAGATAAAAGAGCCGAGCATCAACGGTGACATGCTATCAGAACCCGTTCAGGACAGCCTCAATGGCAGCAGGTACATCCTAATAACGGATCCTAAACACTGTTTTTTTTCCAGTCAAGTCATTTATGAAATGGAACAATCAACCAATCCTCTATAGATAGATCGATCGATAGATAGATAGATAGATAGATAGATAGATAGACGGGAAATCTCGAAAAATCCCGTTTTCAAATCCCACGATGATCAGTCACGACCTTAAAACAGTCACGCTGAAGCAGAAGTCACGACCTACATCCTGTGCTTAACAGATTTCCTTGAAATAATCCCTCTGAACTTTTTTTTTTTTTTAAATAGCTAAGCATCCTCCAATGAAGCTGTCATTGAACCCTATTTGTTTTTTTAAATCCAAATTTCTGATTTAAAATGTGCAAATCAATGATCCTAATAAACCTCTAGAATCAAGAAGTCCAAATGTCAAATGATGCCCATTTGAAGGGATGCAACACCATGTGGATGATTATTTAATTAACCGACTGCATTCCAGGATGAAAAGTTTGACAAAATGAAACACTTTTTATTTAGAAGCATGTGGGCATCGAGTTCATAGAGAACAGGTGACACAGCACAAGCATAAGGAAGGGACCGTGCAGACGCTGATGCACTGAAAACAAATATGATAAATGCTTTTTTTCTTTTTTTCCTTGCTTGTGCACAGAGTTCTTTAGCGAGGAGGGCTCATGCTAACATGTGGCACATCCCTAAAGATCACGTGAAAAAATATACAACATGACAATTTACACAATTTTAAAATATGTTGTAGAGAATTTAGGACGCCATACATTGTGTGATTTAAAGAAATAACAATGGGGTTGTATAAATCTTTCCCTATTCATCTAAATCTGGCTATAAAAAACTAACTGTGCTGGATTTTAATTGTTCTAACTACTGATTAGAAATATATTCTGAGTTTCTAACTATCATTGGTACTGCTGTTTGGTTTTGTAATTTGGTTATTTTTGCTACACTTGCAGTGGCACATCATCTAGCATTGGTTTGCATTATGAAAACTGAACCTCTAACCCTGTTGTTGCATGTAAGCGTGTGTGAAGCTGCACTGGACTATATGTCACATCTATATGTTACAGTCAATCCGTTGTGTCTGGAGTGGTCAGTTACTATCCGAGAGAGAGAGAGAGTGGGGGGCGGCGTGCCAGGTCTGTCCGTGCCTGTCAGCGTTGAATTCGTCGGGCCGGCATGATCCGAAGGGAAGCGGTGCTCTCCCGGGTCATGAGCCGCGTCACCTGGTCCAAGCTGAGTCCAGCCACGGCCTCCCCGTTCACCTGCAGAATTTCATCACCGATGCCGAGGAGGCCGATGTACGGGCCTTCACCACCACCGTCGCCCACTTTCTCAACATAAACACCTGCAAGCAGGAGACACAAGGAGGGGATTGTGTTATCAGAAAATGAAATAAGAGAGGATGCAGTGAATTCTATTCTATTCTCAGACCACTAGTTTGACTGTTGGGCATTAAACCAACCCTGTAACTGCAAAGTCAAACTCCAGATTTTAGAGTTCACAAAGAAAACACAGATTGAAATAAATCACCTGTGTCTGGTCGACCTTTGCCTCTTGAAATGACGAAACCAAAAGGACCGTTTGGGGGTTTGATGAGCTCCAGGAGGAGAGTTCCATCAGGGAAAGCCTGCGTGACCCGGCCAACGGGACGCACCATCCTCGAGGAGAGTACATCTTCAACGCTGAGTGCCCGGTGAAGGTCGAGCTGAGGGCTATCAGGGCTGTAGAGGCAGAAATGCATTATTTTAGTAAAGCTGGTACAAAATATATTTATTAAGTAAAACAATGTACAATTTGGTGTTTTTTATATATTCATCAGTCATCCCTCTTTGTTGGTCTGTTTTTCTCTAATTTATTTGTTTTTGATACCTACCTGGGTGCCAGGCCATACGGTATCTGCACCTCTCCAAGTATTGTTGAGCGCTCTGTTCTTCTCTCTAAACTCTGCACAGAGGAGGCTTTACGCAGTTGGGCCAGTGGCAGCACCTAGTGGCAAATGAGTGGCACTGTAACAAATTGTCATACTGGCAAAAATTCACCAGAACAGCTTTTGGAACTGTAATGCTTTGTCTTTGCCACCCCTGTAAAACTATCAAGAGCCTGTTTGGCAGCACAAAAAAAAAAAACCACACACATACACATATTATGCTAATGCAGGTTGTGATTGGCTGGAGCAGGAAGGGGTTTAATCCTGTTTAGAGTATTCTTAAGCAGTAAAGAGGACAACAAAGTTGGCTAAGATACAAAGTGCAATACGACACATAACTTTAAATTTGTGCTCCAAGTGTCAGGCAATGAGGTTGGTAACGCTTTGGTTAAGACTGCTGCAGTTCACTTTTTAAGCTTGAAACTTTCTTCAGGGAGAAGTGGAACTTTAAAGACACCTAAATTATATTGATTCTCTCAACTGCCTCCCCTTTTGGTGTAAAAAAAAATCACATTTATTTGATGCATAAATGAAGAGAATACAATGGCAGAGCAGCGCAGCAGTCCTGACTAAAACACAGAAAGCGTTGCTGACCGTGTGCAGCGTCTGCAGTGAGGGCGTCCTCTGTATGCGGATGGTGGGCTGAGGTCTGCGCGTCGGGCTCGGTGAAGCTGAGCTCGCCCGGGGGGCTGTGGGGATGCTGAGCTGTTCCATGCTACTGGAGCGGGCTCCTTTCACAAGTCGACCAACGCTGTTCAGGCCGATGGAAGAAAAGAAGCGACGCAGGAAGAGCTTGGGCCGTCCATCCACCTTTCTGTAGAAGGAAAGTGATAAATGTGCTTTAAATAACTGGACAGTAATGTAGTAGTAATGTAGTAATGCAGAAACAGGTACATGTCAAACTGAACGACCATTCAACACGTGTGGGATAGGGATGCTTTAACTGTTTATGCACACTTTGCTGATGGTTCTCGTATAAATGACTTTAATGACTGTAGCTTCTCATTACCAAAAGAGGGCAGGGTTGTCTTTGTATTTGCAAAATATCTGCAACAATAACATCCTGTGGACAGTGGGTTTCTGCTGCGACTGGCACGCTCAGGTCATCAAGGAACAGTGTTGGTGGGGTAAGGATTTATTATCTTGTTTTCTTGGCTTACCTGGACCCGTCAGTGTTTTCCTCCCATATGGCCTCAGCTTTCAGATGTTCAGCTCTCAGCAGCTCAGCTCTGAGATCTTCAGCCCGAGACATGGCCAGGCCCCGCAGAGCACGGCTCTCTGAACCAGGACCAGCGTCTCCACTCAGACCTGCTAACAGAAAGTCATAGCTGTACTGAAGCAACTAGTAAATTTATGTGAGTACTCTGCTCAAGTATTGTTTTAGGTATCTGTACTTCACCTGAGAAGTATAAAGTAACACAAAATTCTACTTTACACTTCCTTTCCACTATAGATCAGACAGACACATCATTTTCCCCCCCACTGTTTATTTGACAGTTAGAGCTACAACTGGGCAATTATTTCTCAAATCATTAAATGTTTAGAACAATTTCTGCTCCATCATCACTGATTTGCATGAAAATGTAATATCATAAAATGTAGATATTGATAGACATTTGCGAAATTTCATCGATCTGCTAAAAACTTTTTTTTTAAAAAATTGCCCATTGACCCACTTTCAGCAAGTTTTTTTGTTTTTCGCACATTAAAATTTGAGACTATGGTTAAATATCCTAGAAACTATTAAAGATGAAAGCCAAGGATTTTCACAGTTATTTCTAATCACGTCATTGATTCAGAATCTAAGCAGATTAAATAATCTACGTGAGTTTAAATGTAAAAAAACGAAGCTGTCATGTAAAGTCCCATCTTCAAACACGCATTAAAAAAGAAATAGATAATGAAAAAGTTAATTAGTGATGTTTTCTGAATCATATGTAGTTGCACGTCACAATAATGCAAAACATAACAAACAGAACACTATTTAAATATGAAATTGTCTTTTGTTTAACTTTCATAGCTGATTGAGCAGGTATGACAAGTTTTACCACAAAACAAAAGTACTGGTAGATGGTCTCATCCAAGTAGAACAGAGCTCTGCAGTTTCAAAACGGTTCTCCAAATATAACTAAGATAATTATTTTTTTGAATAACAGCCTCATTACATTCTGAAACAATGGCACAATGAGAAATAACATTGAAAATGTCATGATTTTATCTTTACTAATTCCTGAGATATTGTCACCCAAACATAAATTTCATTTGCTGAAAGTGGTTTGACAAGAAAATTTTATCTAAACATTATCTCAGAAAGTCCTAAATATATCAATCTAAAGTTTCACAGATAATATTTTATATATCCATAGTTTATGATAAAAAGTTTTAAGCAAATCATAGATGGTTGAGTAGAACACCCCCGATGATTTAAGACGGAATAACACAATTACTTTGCAGATAAAGAATCTTCATTTACTCATAAAATGTCTTTATCTTAAATTAGAAACTAAAACACCCTTAGTATACAAATGAACTAGAATTAGTTCCATCTCACAAGCATAAAAATGTTGACTGTGTTACTACAATAATAATAAAAAATTATATTATGTGTAATAATATAACATTGCTTTTGAAAATGTAGGATATTGTGCTGATAATACTTCTGTGCTGCTACTAATGTAAACTTCTGATTGCAGGACTTTTACTTTGAACAGTATGTTTTTACATTCCATTATTCCTGATATGACAGGATTTGAGGACTTCTCCTGTAGCTGTTTTTCCACAATATCCACTCATGTGAAAGATTACCATTCAATCTAACATAAAGAGGATAAAATGCAGCTTCACACATCTCTACACTGTCCTCCACAAGCACTGAGAGCTACTACAGGCTGTTCTCATCCCCAGTGACCACTCACCTGCTCCGTCTGGAGTGGCGTCCCAGAGTTCAGCAGCTGGCAGGTCTGTGGGGAGTCTAGCAGCGGAGTACCTCAGAGTGGAAGGCCGGATACAGGGCACTGAGCTGCTAGCTGCAGCCGCCCCCTGGGTTAAAGACACTGGAGACTCCCTTCTTGACTCTGGAGAGTCCAGGAGGGACTGAGATCCGCTCTCTCCTCCCTGACTTGAGGCCACCTGGAACTGAACCGAGGACTGACCTGCGGCAGAGCGATTTCTTGAGCTCGACTTCAGCGCTGACTTGATGGGCAGCGATGGAGGAGGTGACTCCCGTAGTCCTCCAGATGCTTCCAACAGACGTGGCTCCAGAGCAATAGGGCTCCCAGGAGCAAATGAAACAGCTCTGCTCAGGTTGACCCTATTCCTTGGATTTGAGTTACGCCGCTGAGCCCATGACGGGCCGTAGGGGCCGTGTCCAGACTCCAACCGACTTTCTCCTTTTCTACTCCGTCTCCTAAGCTTCCCAAACCCTGACGACTTCCACCCTGTGCTGCTTTCTTTATTTTCCCCCAGCACGTAAGCTCCGACAAAGGTGACAGTAAGAGGAGCTTTGGGACGAGTGCTTGCCTCCGCTTTGTTCGAAGGCGCATGGCGAGGAGGTGCTTTCCCCCGTGGCTCTTCAGGGTTTCCAGACGGCAGTGGCTCAGCGTTTTGTGGATCTGAAGGTGAGGAGACTGGTTGAGGTTCCCTGACTACGGAGCCGCATGCCTCACATTTCTTCACCAGCACTATTATCTCTTTAATGACTGTTGTGGTTTCAACACTAACACCCACGTCTTCCTGCTTCTGTGAAGAAGGCATAGACACGCTTCTGTGGCTTCTGCTTCTCTCTGAGCCGCTGCTGCTAGAATCTGTGTTGCTTTCTTTACTCTTGGATTTGGGCATCCCAGGCCTTCCACGCTGTCTCACTCTATCCAGGTAACGAGACTCTGCCTCTTTCTCTGATTCGTCCTCAAAGCGCACACGGGTGGGCGAACAACCGTACCGCCTGGATCGACCTCCAGAGTCACCGGGGGAAGTGTCTCTCTGAGTGGGGACGAGGAGGGGACCAGATGCAGTTTGAGGCGGAAGGTCTTCTTTGGTTTGAACAGCTTTCTGCACTCTTGTCGGACTGGGAGATTCAACCTGCTGCTTCTTTCTGCAGGAAACACCAGACACGTGCATATTACAGACATTGCAAAGCAGCAGAGATTTGTCACTGTGCACACTTGCATATTATGAAAGTGAAGTCAAATTAAAGTAAAAAAGAAAGTTGAATCACAGTCATTTCTCAATGTCAAACTACACTGACATAGAATGCTAAACTGCTCTAGTCGCCACTCATTCATTTTCTAAATAAAATAACATTTACATAATGTTAATGTTACTTTAATAAAACATACTGTACACGTAGTGGCCACGCCTGTCACAGACCAGGCTTGTTGTGCAGCCATGACTGTAGGATCCATTGCAAATACTCCTAATCCTAAACTAAGTGAACTCTTCCAGCTGTTGAAAGGGGATTTCAGGGGCAAAACTGCATTATGTATGAACTATTACATAAACAGAATAAAAACCAAACATTTTAACATTTTGTCCGCGTTGTGTTTGTAATTACAAAGCACGGTCAGGTTTCGAAGCTTTAACTTATTGTCAGTTATGCAACATTAACGTTGCCAAAACAGGCCAAGTGCAAGAGAACGATAGACAAAGCAGGAGAGAGGAAGTTTTCTGAATAGCAAAGAGGGACGTGAGGGTGAAAGCTAAGTGGTAAGCAGAAAACATACAAAAAACTGCAAAGAGAACTTTTTTTTTTTTTGTCACACCCCCAATTCAAATCCATGCACACATTATGCAAAACTGCATAAACATAGGTCATACACTTTAAAATGTAACTTCTGAACATGTAGAAGAAGTTAAAGCACACATAGGCATTTTTTATCCAGCTTACACTGAGGCTCTCTGATCAGAATGAGAGCGTCTGCTGGGTCGGTCGCCTTTAACGTGGTTGGAGCGAGCTTTGAGTCTGGCTCGCTCCAGAAGACGTTTGGCCTGCTCGTGTCTTGGGCTTAGAGGTAGTTCATCGCTGATTACAAGCAGTGACCTGATGATCGAGAAATAGAGAAAGAAAGATGCAAATGAGTACAGAGATAAATCATTTAAGTAACAGCAAGGGGATGGATAGAGTTGAGTGCATTAGACTGTATCGTCATCTGGGTTTGAGTAAACTGAATATTTAATGAAGTGTTCAAATATGCAAAGCTTATTTTGTGTCGAGAAATATCCGGCAACATCATATTCCCCGCAGATTGACTTAACACGGAGTGAATCAAGCTGCGTCTTCCTAAGCTGTCTTATGTAATATCAGATAGATAGACCGGGGCGTGGCCACGGCAGTGAGCAGCAACGAGAAACGCCACCCATCCATCTATCCTTATGCCCAGTAGCTAAGCTGCTCTGCATTGTGCTTCATCGTCTGTACTTGTCTTTATCCCCTGGCCCAGTGATAAAGATAGCATGATATACTAGCCGTGTGGATTATCCTTGCAGTGGCCTGAGCGTGATTCATTCTCTCCTGTGTGTCAAGACGAGAACACATTGTGTTTCAATAGATTACACTTTGTAAGTGTTTAGTTCCAGCAGTGACATACACGGTATAATTAGCACCCACTCTTGGTATGTCACGTGCAGCTGTTTCATTTTGCAGTTTGAAGCGACGGTTAAAATAATACCCTCTGTGCCACCATCGCATGGGTCAAACTCTGTGTTGAAAAACTGGGAATTTAGTTTTTTTTGTTGCTAAGTTTCAGCTTATTTGGTTTTCAAACTTAAAGTATGACTGCTTCAAGGATTTTTATATTTTTTAACAATAAAAAGGCTGCAAATCTCTTGCAAAAAAGAGCTCCATTTTATAATCCTATTTGGATAAAATATCTTCCTCATACTGTTATTCATGTATTTTTCTTTTGAATATATTCTATTTTCTATGCACAGTACCTCTCACCTCGTCCTGCTTTCACAATGCTTGTGTGACTGTGCACAACTCGTTTGGCACTGCAGTTGCTTCAAAAAATTGCCTCCAGATTGCCACAAGTGGAGTTATGAAAGTGAAATTTATGAGGCGAGGGTATAAATAGTCCATAGGGGTAATATATCACCACCCCTGCCAAGCCGTTGCATTGCTCACCTTAAGTAGGGTTCAAGTTCCTGAGCAAGAATGACTGAGTCTGAGCTGTCCAGAACACCGTGGGCACCTGCAACCAGCATGAAACAGGCAGAAAAAGAACAGATCTGAGCAGATGTGAACAGAATATAATCCACATTAAAAAGTTTTTTTTTTTAAAAGGATCTCTAGCCTTTATTCAGATAGCACATTTATTCACAGCGATGTTCAGTTCTTATTTAGCGTCTGCGTGGGGGCAAACACAGCTGCCAAGAGAGCCACCGGCAGTGATGTGACCTACACAGACATCTGGGTGTTAAAGTGATTCGGTCCGTGTATGATCATAAGGATTTTCATAAACCTTCATACCATTAGATTCCGTGACATTCTCATAGGTTATCCCCGACTGATCCTTAATGTAACTCAGAAAAAAAAACAAAAAAAAAACACACAGATTATGCAACCGCTAAGAGATAAAAGCAGATTTCCCAGAGACAAGAGGGGAAAAAAATCACCTCATTATCACGGACTTACCTGCATGTCTCACACTCAGCCTCGACCACACACTCAAAACACAAACACACGGCACACATATATGATATTGCAGATACACTGCGCGGGAAAATACTTAATCTGTCATATTACAAGCATCCATTAAAACACAGTCAGAGATACAAAGGCTGGGACACTCCCCCCACGGCTCCGACTGCTAATAATAGCAACACCCTCATGCACATCTGCACATCTGACATCTGTTCGGCACTGGGAATCAGCCAGGTTACATGCAGCATTTCAACACAACATGCTAGACAGACAAAGGCTTGTGTAAAACGCTTTGAATGGCCGCGACTGCTGGGGAGCACTCCGAGAAGGGAATGTGGTTAAAAAGTTTTATAAAGCTTTGGGATGTCGTTGGGGATAAAATATGCAAAAGGGACTAAATCTTCTGTTTCCATTCAAAATGCCAACACGCCACCTGAGCTTCTGAACTGCTGCACAAACTGTAGTTTCAGTAATATCCAGCTTACGGTATTCGACTGGAAGTTACAAGAGATAATCAAGAGCTGTGACTAAGCCACTTGTACAAAAAAATAAAAAATAAATAATAATCCAAGCCTTGACTCAGCCTGTATGATGCATCATCTCAAGTGTATCTGAATGTGTTTTTGCTTGTCCCTTGATTATTTTTTGTTGAAATAATATGTTGCATTGGCCATATTTAGAGTTTTATAGCATGTTGAGAGGCGTCACACTTTCAGACATCTGTTCCTAAACAAACTCGTACTGAAACCACTTTAAGATGGTGAAGAGTGACTTTTAACTTATTTCATATTTAAATCTCTTCTATTTTTTTATTTTTTGCTGTTTATTTTGTTCTTTATTCTACATTGCACTGAAGAAGTTGCTCTTAATCTCATTGTACATGTGTATAGTGACAATAAAGGCATTCTATTCTATTCTATTCTATTCTATTCTATTCTATTCTATTCTATTCTATTCTATTCTATTCTATTCTATTCTAACCTTTATGGTTTCTACATTTGATGTTAAAAATATGTTATTTCCCCACAAGAAACTTACCTTTCTGCTCCACTCTGTGTGCTGTGTCTCCATAATAACCAGCACTTTCTCCTCCATGTTGTTCTCTCTCCTCCCTGCAGTTCTGTTGTCTTTCCCTTAACTTTGCATAGGCCCGTTCCTTCACCTTCACCCTCTCATCAGCACAGAGCACGCTGCTTTGTGAACACATGCTCTCCCAGCTGTCTGAACTGCACAGCTCTCTGCTGGGATCGCCCATGTCCGTCTCCTTCTGCTCACACCTGTCCAGGTAGCACTCCACACTATCCGAGTGTTTGATTTCTGACGATGCTTCGCATTCTTCCGCCGCAGCTCCCACGTCATTCCTGCTGCCCGTTTCGGCCGGTTTAGTCTTCCTCTGAGCTTCTGCCAGTGCGTCTATCTGAGTGTAGTCCTTCAGAGGTAAAGTGGAGGATGTGCTGTGAGGGCCCACGCCATTAAGGAGCAATGTCTCTGGTCGCGCTACTCTCCAGAAGCCCTTCGGAGGTGCCCAGTGTCTCGTTGAAGAGGAAGAAGTCGAAGGTGTTGTAGAAGCAGAGGCGGCAGCAGGAGTGGAGGAGAGCACAGGTAGAGGAGGAGGAGTGGACGGGTCATCCTTACTGCTGCTTGAGTTGTCAGAAGACAGAAGACTCTCCAGACTGGTGCCCTCCCTGAGTCCACAAGGCTGCTCAGTCTGAAAACTGACCTGGCCTTCATTTTTGTCTGATGTCTTTTCTTCAGTCTCCTCTCCACTCTGCTCTGTTTGTGCTTCAGCCGGAGGACTGTGGATCTCCAACCTCACCAGCACCTCTACTTCCTCCTCTTCATCACTGCTGCTTAAGACCTTTGCAGCACCTGATCGCCAGGCGGAAGCAGGAAGAGGTAGCTGACCTTTGGCTCTGGGACGCTGTCTGAGAAGGACCTCAGAGGAAATCTGCCCAACTGGGCTGCTCACCGGCACATCTGGGTCCAACCTTTCTCTGTCTCGCTCTCTGTCTCTCCCTCTTGTCCTTCTCTGTGTGAGAGACTTCACCTTGGTCTGGAGCGCGTGCACGGCCGAACTCTGAGAAGGAGGGAGTGAGGCGTTCAAAGAGGGTGTCGGGAAAACGGGCTCGGGGACCGGGCCGGTGATGAGGCCCCAGTTGATGGGGATCCCGGTGGGTAAAGGGGAACTGGATTTTGCAGGGATGTTTTCAGAGTCTTTCTCTTCCTCCATGAGCTGGTCATGCACAAAAGAGTCCAGACAGATTCTAAAGACAAGGAGCAAAATGTTACCGTTTTTTTCATACACAATAAAGACCAAACCATCCCTCTTACATCTGCTCTACATCTCTGTAACTTTATTTCTGATGTACCAGGTATGAGATATGTAATGGGGATTCAGTCACGTTGCCTTATCCACTGATTACTTTGCAGGGCACGGGATAATCCTTTAGAACGAGAATAAGCAACTGCTGCCTGCAACTGAGACTCTACACAAATAAGCAATATCATATCTGAATATTTGTCTATTTGTCAAGCAAAAATCAATATTAAACTGACATGTTAACTGGAAATGTGTCATTCATTCTGTAGAAAAAAACAAAAAACAAACTGAGAAAGCATTCTGAGTAATATTTCAGCATTAGGAAATTAAACTATTTTGAAAGCTTGTGTCACATACTGTCAGTAAATATGCAAATCAGCCACATGCAAGCCAATCTAACATATATAATTAACAACATGAACAAAGTAACTTCTCGACACGCTCACATAAGACAGATTAGCCATCTATTATTAAAAAGCTGACACACACAACGAGCAGTGTACCTGGATATTTCGTGAGGACTTCAAAACACAACTCCAGCGTTGACCATCATGAGAAAGTTGCCATAAATTGTGACTCAGCTGCACAAATTAAAGTTGCCCTAAAAAAAAAGAACCTGCGCCAGATATGGCTGCATGAATCCTCAGGTCGGTTCACAGCATGAGCAAGAAGAACAAGCAACTGTCCCCGCGGGATAAAAAAAAATCAAAATCAAAATCAAATAAAAGAAGATTTCTCCACATCCTAGGTTGTGTTTCCACTCACTGTCTGCAGAGCTCCCAGTCCGAGCAGTGTCAGGCGAGCCAGCGGTCTCTCAGTCATGATTGGTCCGGTAATCCCCTCAGAAATCAGTGGGATTAGACAAAAATGGAATACAAAAATGCCTGCTTTAATTTCGTCCTTGCCTCGCGAACCCGCCGCCGACAGAAGCTCGCTGTTGCGTAAGTACAGTGCACACACACACACACACCGATTCCCTCCAACCAGTAACAAGCCAATGAAAAGGAGGACAAAATAAAACTAAGATGGCTCTGTGGGCTCCCGCCTAAATGGGATCTTCCCAGTATCTGTGCAAATCCTGGGTTACTTCGATGATCCTGATGTATCAAAGCACGCTGGTGTGTTTCCCAGACTACAGGCCTATATTGTCTCGTAAAAACAACTGTCAGCTGTTTTTTATTTGTCAATACAGCTGATCCCTCCCTCCGTCTCCATGTATGCCAGCTCTCCCTTTCCCTATCTCTCTCTCTCTCTCTGTGTGTTGTTGTTTATGTCCACGCGTGCACGCACATGCGCTCGTGCACAATCAGCCTAATTGAGACAATGTTCTGCTTGCCAGTAGTCAACAGTGCCCAGATGTGCACAGACTCCTGCAGATGCTGCTCAGTTTATGTGCTGGTGGCTGCACGTGCGCTCACTTGGCAACAGAGGGCGCCGTGAGCTCATACACACGCGCGCGCACGCAAACACGCGCACATACACACACCTTGGCCAGCTAGCTGTAACCGGCTAGCGAGTCTGTCGTCGAGTTGACACCCTCCCCAAACCTCGGCAGCAGCTAAGCTGCACAGTCGACATGGCAAGAAAATATCGCAACAGTTTCCTAAAGAAAGATGAAAAACTTCCAAGTCTTTTGGGATAAGTGAGTACTGGCGGCCATTAGGATCTCTTTACCACGCGGGAGAGTAACAGGAGAAGTTGCATGTTCAGTTTTAGTCACATTAATGACGCATAGCGATGGTTAGTTGCTGCTAACACCAAAGATAGCTAGCTAAGGAGCTAATGGCTACGGTAGGGAGGAGTAACGTTTGTTCGTTAGCATGTTAGCCTTCTGTGCTCGTCCCGACCAGATGAGGGTTTGAGTTAGCTTCTTCTCCAAATATCACCAAAGCGACACTCCGCTGTGATGCTGAACATGTCACTGCTATCGTATTGAAATGAGTCTGTCTGACGAACGTAAATACAATTTTAAGGCAGATGGAGGTCTTGGTAGTTTTCGATGCTAGCGTTACATAATATCACTGCAAGTCAAACGGTTGTCTATGCTTCGTGTCTTAGCTGTCGTTTCCTTGACCAATACTCGAGATGATAACCACGGTTCTCGGCAGTGTAATGAACTCATAAATGTGACTATGTTTAGAATAATACATGTGTGATAGTCTGCTCATAATTGACTTTAGATTATTAAGAAATTACTGTTTGATCAGACGACGTTTGCTCGCTAGCTAAGCTAGCAAACTAGCCACCCATAGCATAGATTGCTAAAAGTAAGCTAACGTTACCAACTATTAGCTGGCTAACGTATCGCTTCATACTAGATATATAATTAATGAGTGTATGACGAAACATCGAGATGATTACAGCTAGGATGGCACACTCGTTGATCAAATTAAATTAAATATTTGTTGGTATAATCTAACCCAGTTTTATTAGCAAACGTTAGCTTCGTAACAAGTTATAGCGCAGATGGACTTGGTTGTTAGCCTCTTGGTACCCTTTGTCCATAGTCATAGTGGTAACCAGCTCTTGTAAGTAGGCCACACAGCAGTTGTTTTGATCCAGCTTCTCGTATGTTTTATTCGTGTCTTACAAAAGTGTGCTGTGTCACCTCAGATCTAGTTTGACATAGGTTTGTTGCGTGCGAACGACGTATACCATCGAGTAGAGAGACAGACATTTTTATTGCAGGATCAGTTGTCTTACCAGAAATCTACTTTGTCATCCCACTGCCTAGAATGCATTTCTCAACAACAGATGTTCTCGTACACAACACAGCCATGTTTTGTTAGTGTACCTAGAAACTGTTTGGATGGAAGTTTAAAAAGCTTTACAAAGATAAATTTTGACTTGTATGCACAGTTGCTCAAATTGATCAATGTTTGCCTAATTTTAATTTACTTTGTCTTTCTCTTTTACAGTATTCATCACGCGATGTGATCCAAAATCCACAATGTTTGAGGACATTTAAGAACGATTGAGTTCGGAAGAAAAAAAATTTGATTCCAGTGGAATCTTCCATATATATATATATATAATTATTATATTTTTTCTCTGTGTTAAAGCTTACATACATTTATACACACCCATCCCATCAACATATAACCATGCCAGTGCAAGCACCACAATGGACAGAGTTCCTGCTGTGCCCAATCTGCACACAGACATTTGAGGAGACTGTTCGCCGGCCCATCAGCTTGGGCTGTGGACATACTGTCTGCAAGATGTGCCTGAACAAGTTGCACCGTAAGGCCTGTCCCTTTGACCAGACAGCCATCAGCACAGACATCGAGCAGCTACCTGTCAACACAGCCCTGTTGCAGCTGGTGGGAGGCCAGGTAAGACGCATGTCTGTGTGTGTTTGTCATAAATTGCCCAACAACTGTACAGAGATCCCAGTTCATATTATCTCTGCGGAGCACTTGGTGACGCTAACTTGTGATTAAGAACAACAGCTCACAGATGTGTTTGAGTAGTTGAACATTTTCAGACTTGACAGAGTGATGTCTTCAGTAATCACTGTTTGTGGATTGTATTAGAGCGTTGCGCATGGGCTATTACATGATGCACATAGCTTGGGGATTCCTTTATGAGTCACACTCAAGTTGTTGGGCAATGGCTTTAATTCTGTTGCTTTACTGAGTGCTGCTGGCACAATCAGTAAAGCTGTATTTGTCTGAAGTGATGTTTGATCAACAGGGTGAGGCACAGTTAATGGTGTTTTGACTAAGTTGGCCAAGATTCCAACATGAGACTGTAGTAATGGATAATGTCCGTGTATCTCCTGTAACCCTGAAGTCTCTGATATAGTCACAGCTGTGATGTCTTGTCTTTTAGCTGTATTCCTTCACTATTTGTCCTTCTGCAGGGTAATAGAGTACCATGTCTGACCAAATTAATATGCTCTGACAGATATGGAAATTAGTAGTCAGTACCAATGCAATATAAATTTGACAATTCTTGATAATCTAAAAGGAATACCAAGCCAGTGAATTTCAAATTCAACTGTTATTTTAAAAAAAATATCTGTTGCACAAATGGTGTGACAGCCCACTAGCCCACATTATATTTTGACAGACTCAATTATTGTAACATTAATCTAAAAACATTGTGAGCAGCATTCAACTTAGTTATGGCCTTTCACTGTATTAGCCTAAGCAAGCTAATGTTATCCTATGTGAATGCTGCTTGTGGAGCAGTGCTACAACGGATTTGCAAACGATGACATTTCAGGGGATGAACATTCTGATGTCATGTTTCAATTACGAAGTTAACAGCTGAAGCACACTCACCTTGAATTCAGTGCACATATTTTGATGCCTGTCTCTTAGGATAAATTTGAGGTGTTGTCTTATTTTGTTCGAAATTGCCTGTGACATTGTTTATATCCTGTCTTTGGTCTCTAACTTGTCCTGCATTATCTAACTCAAACACAAAATATCTTCATACCCAGCGCTTGCTGTTCCGTTTTTATTTCTCCGCAAGTCGCTGCAGACCTTTTACGGCACTTATTGCTGCCATTTCATGTGTTATCCTCAAGTGTTTTCCTTTTATAATGAATCTATGATACCGTATAATAACAAGTACCATCACGCTTTCACAATTTTGGTTTCAACTTGATACCAAAGTAACTGCTTTTGTAGTATCCCTGAGTATGATAAATCTGTACCATCATTTAGAACAGTTCTTGCATCATACGAAATGCCCTAAAGCTGGTTTGAGCTTTGATCGTTATTAACACAATAGAGCCACACAAAAACCGGTGGTTATCTCGAAAGTTTAATTGTGGATGCGTAATCAGTTGTTAAATCAGCCATTGCTCTCAACAAAGTCTATGACCAACATTGCCTTCTGTATGAAAAAACAATCATGATGTGAAACACTTTTTCCCACTGCCGTGGCTCTGTTTTAAATTGTGAGTGTTAGAGTGGGAACAGTTCAGCAAGCCGTGACATACATGCAGATAATTGAGCATAACCCTTTAGTGCAATAACATGGTTATTTAACTGTTAGATATAAAATTTCTTGTCAGCCATTTCCTTGCTTTAATAGTCCAAGTACAATCTGGGGAAAACTAAGTGCTTAGTGAACCTTACTTTGCTAATCATCACAGAAACACCAGATCACCAGATTGTGCTCTAAATAGACAAGGGATTTCTAAAAAATAGTTTAAGACTCATATTTAGAATTTTATTGTACATTACAGTTTGGTGTAAATACAGATTGCGTTTATTCTAAAACTATGATAGACTTTCCGTCTGTAAATTTGCTGCTTAGAGGTTGGTTGTTAAATGGTTTTAATGGATTGCACCATACAGTCTCACTTGATCACTGAGAATGCACGCTGAAAGTTGGGCACACATTAAGATGTATTTGATATTAATTTATACAGTCAGCACTATTTAGTAGTTTTATCTACTACATAAGACAATGAAAAGAAAAAGATGACACGGAAGCCTCTACAACTTTGTTGAAACACAGCTGTACTAAAGGATTTCAGTTTTTGCTATCAGTTGTCCTAAATGTTTTCTCCGCTATGTTCTGCTGCAGGTTCCTAAGGCTCAGCCAGTTGCCTTGATTACCAGTCCAGAGGACTCGCAGCATTATGAGGAAGCCAGGCAGTGTGTGGAGGAGCTGGCCCTTTACCTCAAACCCCTCAGCAACACCCGAGGTACTTGAAAACACACAAACACACGCTCATTTCCTTTATAGATTGTCCTCCCTTTATTATGATCTGTTGACACGCTTGGTTTAAAATGTCACTGGTAGGTCACTTTTATTGAACTTGTGTCCTTGAAAGTAGCATTTGTGTTTTTATGATATTATCACACTACAACAAAGAAAGAATAAAAAGAAACAAAAGTTCTGAAAAATGTTGTCAGCAATTTCCCAAGTAATCAATATTTGAAAACAGCAGCATATGTGACAACTCATGAAATTGGAGCTGTCTGAAACTTCCATTGATGAAGTTCTTAATGACATAACTAGGTTGTTAGAGAGACTCAGTGTTTCCCACGACACCTGATTCAGTTTGTGGCGGTAGCTGATGGGAGGTTGTATGTGTATATACACAGAAGAGGCAGACCCATGCTGTCCTAAAATAATTATTACAAATTATTGCATTTAAGATGATCCACTGCAAATATTTTAATTTGCCAGAAAAATTGTGACATATAAATACCTTAATTAAACAGCTCCATTGCTTCACATCGTGGAAAATAATCTAATATATACAGTGCTGCATTGCTAACGAAGAAACAAATACCCCTGGTCCAAACAGTTTTTGCACTTCTTCGGAATTTGGTCTTTTGAAAATATTTTTCAATTTTCACCTGGATTAAGGAATCAAACTTTCAGTGTAAGAATTGATGAAATAACAATGATGTTACCCACTTGCACAGTCAATGTTGACTAGCAGCTATGTACCGTTATAACCTCCAAAACCCAGCTGTATTCCAACATTAACTTTTCAGTGAGAAAAGACCAACAGTAATTCTTCCTCCTGCACATGATCATGTGTTGAGAGTGTTTATGAAGAGGAAGGACTATTCACAGATGAGTTCATTGTGAGAATGAGTGAGAGGGGGGCAAGGAGGGTGAGCAAATCAGTGCTGCAGTAAATTTAAATTGTATTTGTTTTGAAAAAAATAACAATAATACGGTGGTGGGTGCCGCAAATACATCAATGCATGGGAAGCACTAGACTCTTATAAGAAACACAACCCTGTTTCATCATAACATACTGCAGATCTGTCAACTTTTTGACATTCAGAGTTGAAATTGTAATAAACGTTGTGACATTATCATACTGCATCATGAAGGCTGTTAGCCATCAGCCTAAATCTGCTTAATATTAATAACAAAGTTTCTCTGTGATTAGCCTGTTGTAAGGAAAACTGTTTGTGCCGCACCCCCATTGAAGCAGGATTGCTCACAGTCAATACAAATACTGGATGAAGCATCAGTACAAGTCGAGCTGTTGGAAACACCTTAATGTCCTGGGGTGCACAAGTGATGCTGCACAAACCCGGCATGTTTTAAATGCATACATGGTCAATTTACAGTCATAATGTTGAGTGAAAGATTATCAAATAACCTTCTGCATTCACAGTAGCCAGTTTTGCCTTCATTCTACGATTTAGTAACCCCTCACCTTTTTACTGTGTCGCATGGAAAAATTATTCTGCAGCGCTGTGCATGTTTGTAGCATGACTCAATAACTAACATGATGATATCTGTGACTGTAATATTTATAGTATGTTTATTGGTTAGATTTACCTTCTTGGTTATCATCTTGTTTTAGAGAGCTGTAGGTTCAAATAGTTATCTTGCAATAATATCAACATGGTACAGTGACATATCATGACTCCCCCTCTTGTTTCTTACCAGGTGTGGGTTTGAGCAGTACAGCCCAGAGCATGCTGAGTCGACCCATGCAGAGGAAACTGGTAACTCTGGTCCACTGCCAGCTTGTGGAAGAAGAGGGCCGTGTTAGAGCCATGAGAGCTGCCCGCTCTCTGGGTGAACGAACTGTCACCGAACTCATCTTGCAGCACCAGAATCCACAGCAGCTCTCTTCCAATCTGTGGGCTGCTGTCCGTGCACGAGGATGTCAGTTTCTTGGCCCAGGTAGACGGTTTTCTACGACCTCCTCAGTGAAACTATCACATAACCAGCCCATTTATTCCCAGCTTGGTTTGTATGGTTTACATGTTTGTGTTTCCTCCCTTAGCAATGCAAGAGGAAGCTCTGAAGTTGGTCCTCCTTGCTCTAGAGGATGGTTCTGCTCTGTCCAGGAAGGTTTTGGTTCTCTTTGTAGTCCAGAGGCTTGAGCCACGCTTTCCTCAGGCCTCTAAAACGAGCATAGGCCATGTGGTGCAGCTCCTCTACAGGGCCTCCTGCTTCAAGGTATGAGACTCGTCGCAAATCAGAAGACATTTCATGAACTGATTTGATGTTTGTGGGAAATATTGTAGGCTGTGTGGTGCTGCTTCATAATGGTGCCAATATTATTCCATCCCTTTCCATGTACGAATTTATGTGTTAGAAATGATTATTTATTCAAGGCTGTGATGAGTATAAAACCTAAAACATGTAATCAAGGCTTTCTAAGGTCAAATCTTTGACAGGGTTGTTTTTTTTCTTGGCTAACTCACTTTTCTGTTGCTATGTAGGTCACCAAACGTGATGAAGATTCATCCCTGATGCAGCTGAAAGAGGAGTTCCGTACTTACGAGGCTCTGCGACGTGAGCACGACTCTCAGATTGTTCAGATTGCCATGGAGGGTGGACTGCGCATTGCACCTGACCAGTGGTCTTCTCTGTTGTATGGAGATCAATCTCACAAGTCACACATGCAGTCTATCATCGATAAGGTGTGTGAAAGAAGGATTTTTTTTTATTTATTTATTTTTTGCTTCTGTGCCCAGTTGTTTGTTTCCATAAATGGTACACACGTCAAAGAAAATGATTCATGTGTTCAGCTATACATTTCTGAACTCTGTATGTCAAAACATGCTTGTATATACAAAAACCTATCTGCCATGAATTTACCAAAGCGTTTAATCATTTTCTTTCTTTCTTTTTTTTCGATGCTTCCGGCGTAGCTGCAGACCCCAGCATCTTTTGCTCAGAGTGTCCAGGAGCTGACGATTGCACTGCAAAGGACTGGAGACCCAGCCAACCTTAACAGGCTGCGGCCTCACCTGGAACTATTGGCCAACATTGATCCCAGTCCTGGTAAGAAACCAAAAAAAAACTTCAGGGATGTTTGGTTTTGTATTAATGTGGGAGCTGAACATGCAGACTCTATAATCTATATGTAGTGTGAGTTAACAAATATTTAATAAAATCCCCTCACGTGTACTTCCAGCTTTCCAGGCTAAACCTGCTAGCATGACACTGGTAATGGACCTGTGCGCTGCCAATAGGTTACAAGTTGAACTTGCACTCCAACAAATTTCATTCTAGGAGCACAAGAATGTTGACATTTATAAACTTGTGACAGTAAATATTTGGCTCACGAGGCGTACCAAAGGAAATTCCATACCAAAACAAGAAGCACTGTTTGGTAACTGACTGCCTTCCCCTTTGACCTCCCAGTGGAGAGAAGCTCAGTCTTGCACACCAGACAAAAGCATTTATGTTCAAGGCTGTCTGCCGAGGGCTGTGCTGGTGGTGTCAGTAGTGGTTCTTTGGAGCACAGTCCATATACACCTCACATCTTTGACAAAAAAGTACAGAATAGTTTATTAAAAAAGATTTTCCAATGTCTTTGTCTCCCTAGATGCTCCTCCACCTACATGGGAGCAACTTGAGAAGGGTTTGGTAGCAGTGAAAACAGTGGTACATGGCCTGGTGGACTTCATCCAGAATCACAGCAAGAAAGGAGCGGATCCGCAACAGGTCAGTGTTTTCATTGGACCAGAAAACAGAGCTGGAAGTAAGAAAGGTTGCTGATTCCTCCAGTCCCAAAACAAACAAGACACCTAAAGTTGTTTTTTTTTCTGTAATCTTTTAACACACCTCTGAAATTTTAAAGTGCTTAATAAATAGTATTGTGACAGTTCATCTTGTTGGTGTCACCCCTAATTGTATTTATGTGTTGTTCTCTGTTTCTCATCAGCCTCCTCAGCACAGCAAGTACAAGACATATATGTGTCGCGACATGAAGCAGAAGGGAGGCTGTCCTCGTGGAGCCAGCTGTACCTTTGCTCACTCTCAGGAAGAACTGGAGAAGTGAGTCCAACAGATATTAGAATCAAGAAATGTTGTTTTTAAAAATCATGTATTTGACTTTGTCCTTACCTTTGCCCACAGTCACCACTGTGTTTCTTATGGATTTTGTTTTATATTTGTCAGGTATCGTAAGATGAATAAGCGTCTTGCAGCTCGACTCCCAGGTGCAGGAGGGCTCTTGTCAGATGACGGCCTTCCTCTTGATGTAGCAGTGACCCGGAAGCCTTCGCCTCTCACCAATGGGAGCGGTGCGCCCTCTTTGCCCCAGCTCATTGCCCGTGGCACAGACACCGTCTCCTACGAACTATTGCGCAAACCTGTCAAGATGGATGGAGGGAGTCCGAGTGCCCCAGGATCACCACCTGATGTGTAAGTATAGTGATTCATGGAAATTAATTTAGTCGACTGCTAAGAAGCAGCTTTGCACTGATTTTCCACCCTCTACTTAAGTGTTTTAGCATTACCTTTCTACTTTATACCTTTGTATTTAAGAGATGAATTGTATCCTTGAAATGCTGCAAAGTATATTTAATAAGATTTATTCCTGTAGCCTGGACCCTGTGCCCAAACCCGGTATGCCTCTGCCACCTCATGCCATGGCCCACCCAAGGATGCCAGCAGATCACCTCTCAGGAGTGAAGCACATGCCTGTGGTGCCCAGAGGTTCGCCGGTGTACCCTCAGCCGCCACTCCCTGAGATGTGCTATGACACTCGCCCACCACCTTCTGCCTCTCAGTATGAGCCCCCACAGTATCCTACAGGTACGGATTAAATATACTGAATAACTTGTGTGTGTGTGTGTGTGTGACTGATGGACATGTTTTACTTTATTAGAGTGTGACGTGTTTTAAATAATATTCTGTAACTTATTTCTCAGGGTACCCATACCAACAGCCACCACAGTATGTTACTCGGGATTACATCCGTAACGCTCCTCCCCCCAGTGAGTCAGGACCCCCTTACCAGGACCCTTACTCTGGCTATGGCCCTCCAGAGCGCCCCTACCAGGCTCCTCACTCTGGCCCACCATTCTCCTATCCTCACCCTTCACACTATGACAGAGGTCGCCATGGGACCTACACTGGCCCACCACCTCCCCCACAGCCTTACCCATCTCAGAGGGATGGCCTGGTCAGAATGAGTCCAGCACCTCTGGATGTTCCCCCACCATCAGCAGGACAGGCTAATTCACTCTACCACCAGGATCCCAATCCCCGGGACAGATACCCACCAGATGCTTACTATCCACCAGGTGCCCAACCTCCACCTATGAGGACTTATGTCAGGGTAAGTTTGATGATTGGTGTGTTTTGCCTTTGTACAGTTTGTGTGGTCATCCTAAATACAAAAATAACAGCCAGCAGTTCAGCACTGATATTTCTGTGTGTATCATAGGGGCCATCATATGGTGGTTCACAGCCCAGCCTGGACTACCTGCACAGACGTCGGCAGGAGCTGTTATCCCAGCTGGAGGAGAGGAAGGTTATTTCCCCGCCACCGTTTGCTGCGTCCCCGACTCTTCCACATCCCTTCCCCAGTGATTACCCTCCTGAGGTTAGCATGAAGTCAATGTAATTTGTCTCTGATGCTATTTAATTGTCAGAGCCATAAAGTAACAAGATGTAATTAGTCAAAGAAAGTGTTGATTAACTGCAAATATATGTAAGTATTAATGATCACATGTTCTGTGTCTGCAGTATGGCGAGGAGAGCTCCAAAACTATGGTGAAATGCAGAGAGCCTGACTATGCAGGGCAGTACTCTCCCTGGTCCTGTGAAACTATTGGCTCATACATTGGGACAAAGGATGCCAAACCCAAAGATGTGATGGTTCCCGGCGCCATGGAGATGATGGTAAGTTTAAATGTTCGAGAATTACATCAGCATTTCCTGCTGTAGACCTTGGAGGTGGGAAAATTGATAGATTATTTGACAAATGATTCTGAATGCATGCATTCAGTGAGGTGTAACAAAGCACTATAATGGACTGCGTAATTGAGGTGATGTTAATTAACACCAGCTATTATGCTGTTTGACCTCATGTTCACCAAGCTGAATCAGCCGGTACTGACGAGTGTACTTTTTGTTCTACTGATAAAACCAATGTTTGTCGCAGTCTATCAAGTGAGAAAAGAACATGTTGCTCACTCTGCCTCTTCCTCACATCTCTCTGTGTCATAACCTTTGCTCTCTTTACTCTTCCCTCTGCCAGAATGTGGAGGCTAAAAGTCTGAGGGAACCGTCATTGGAAGCTCCTCGGAGGGGTGCAGAAGTAAAGGATGATGACCCTATTATCCCATTTGGTCCCCAGCCCACTGTGTCACGCTTTGGTGCCATTTCCCGCACTTCAAAAACAGGCTACCAGACCACTGGTCCTGTGCAGGCTATGGTAGCCAACCCCCAGAACCCAAACTCGAAACACATGGCCATGCCAGGTAAGAAACCATCTACATGCACGATCACCTATAAATGACTGATAAACACCATCACACCTCCCTTGTTTGGAATTTAGCATCTCCATATGATTTATTGGTAACGGCTGACAAAATGGTATTTGTTACTGTTTGCAACATGGTAATTTCACGTAATTGTGTCGTTAAATCATTCCAGTTTGTCATGAGTACACTTCTGTTTTTCATTTTACCACTTTGCCTGCAGCAGAGTACACATATGGAAGCCATGGAGGATGGGGTGGCGCTTCGTACCCCTCCCACCAGACTGCCTCCTCCTCTCAGGGACACTTTACTGAGCGGTATAAGCCATTTGTTGTGTTTTTTAGGATGGTGATGATCACAGTTTTACAAAATGCATGTCTAAAAGGGCAAATTTGTGCCCTAAAGCAGTTTTTACTGTCTTTTCTCTCACAGCCTACCTATGGCAGCCCCAGACAGAGAGCAGTTAAAGATTGAGCTGCAGCAAGTCAACCAGCAGATCACTCAACAGACCCAGATGCACAGCATGGAGGTGTGTGTGATCTTTGAAACTTGGATGAGTATTTACAAAAGCACAAAAGCTGATTTGATAAATTTACCTTTTCAGAAATGTAGAAGTATTTCAAAGTGTAAAGCGTTTTTTAGTTTCTGAGGAGTTTACATCATATTCCATAATTTTAGCTCCTCTTTCCTGTCACGTGGAAATCGATGTGGTGAAGAACAAAATCAGTTGTCTATTAAAATATAATCAATATCAAAATGTATAACCTGAAAGAAAAACCAAACAGGATTTCCATTTTGTGCCGTGTTTCCTCAGATTATTGCCAACAATTTCCAGATCGCACACTCACCCCTTCACTTCCTGTCTCACTCTTCCAGGCTGCCAGTAACTCTTTACTCCTGCAGAGGGAGGCCAGTGCATTGGCAGGTCAGCCTGTACAGCCCAGCCAGGGCCAGGCAGCAGTAGCCCCACAACAGCAACAGCCCAAGTGGCCAGCAGGGGGAGCAAGTGCAACAGCTGTCTCCAGTGAACAGCTGAGCCTGGAGCTCCACCAGGTGGAGAGAGAGATTGGCAAGAGGACCCGTGAGATGGCTATGGTAGGGGTCTGTGCTCCTTAAAGCACCAGTTATGGCTGCTACAGTTTAACCATGTGGAAAAAAAAGTTTGGATAAATGGGGGATTTATTGATGACAGCACGTGGGATGGTTGGAGGAGTAAATACTTAAGAATATCCTTCTGGGTCCCCAACAAAATGGATATTCAGTCATATTTTGTAGTACAGTGTCTGGAGAATAAACATGAAAATGCGTTTTTTTTTTGTAAAAGAATCATTTCAGCCACTCTTTGTGCATCTGTTCTGCCACCATGCACCTTATGATACAAGCACAAAACAAGAAAACGGGATTTGCTTTGTGGCTCAAGTCTTAAAAAAAAAAAAAACTGACAGTAGTTCAGTTGGATCAGATAAACGGATCATGTTGTTGGGGGGCGTCTTTCTGACATCTCAGCATATTTTGTCCATTGTGCAAACCAGGAAAACCAAGTAGCTCACGACGTGCAGCAGTACAAGATGAAATCTGCAGAGAATGGACAGCCGGAGCACAAGACTCAGCTGGAGGAGATCGCCCTGGCTCGTGGGTGAGTGAGAACAAATATTAAGACATAGTATATACACCAGTGAATATGCATCACATTATTAGTTTGACCCTCTTCTCAATATTTCTTATTCTGACTTGAGGCTTCTCTAATTCTGTTCCTAACTCAGCGAGGTGTCAAACGGCTCCAGCAGTCTGCAAGAAAGTGCAGTGGGCGGGTCCATGCTGACACTGACGAATAAGACGTCTGCGCTGGGCCTGTGTTCTGACCCAGGTGCCACTGGTTCAGAAATGCAGAAGAATGGCGTTGTCCATTCCTGCTCTTAGGAAGTACACACTTACACACATGTGCACACACACACACATACACACACTCTCACACACACACACACGCATACATGCACGCACACAGACACAAGATGCTCAATTGAAAAGCATGCACAGGCACACATACACCCATTCTATTTAGAAGATGAGCAGTATCTGCCGTGATGAATTTTCTTTCTTTTTGTTCTGTGAATGAGCTTTTTTTAATGACTTTCCCTGCCTGGAAACCATGGCATATGATAACATTTCTTGTGTGTGTTATTTTTAATTTTTTTTTTCTTTTTTTTTTTGTACTGGTATTAGATTAACAAGGCTCACAGTAGATATATCAGGAGGATAAAATGGTGGTGATGTTGACAGTGTTATAACTTTATTAAAAAAGAAAAAAGAAGGATATTCCATCCTCAGTAAACATAAAAGTATAGTCAAGCGTTTGATCCTCCTTTTGTAAGAATCTTGGTTTAGTTGTATAAGCATACATGCAGTTGGATAGAGAGGAGCTGATTAACAAGTACTATCATATCGCATACACTCTGATAAACTTCTCTTAGAATCTAATGATTTGTGAGGGCAATGTGGGAAACGGCAGAAGTGTGTCGCTCGGTACTCACCCCCAAAATCGTAAAACAAAAAAAAAAAAAAAAAGAGGTTGCCCAGATCAAGATGCCTGAGGAGGGAAAAAAAAAAACATACAATAATCAGCCAAATACGGTCACGCAAGGTGTTTGGAAATGAGGTGATGCACTTCCTCGCCGGCCACGAGAAGTATGAGTTTTATTATTGCATTTTATGAACACATCACATGTCTGTTTCATACTTGAAAGCAGTATATTATATATTTAATTGGAGCATTCTGTTTTAAAGATTGCAACAAGTCTTTTTGATAATGAGCTTTCCATGTTTTCTATAAGGGAATCTAATATGTGCTTCTCCGGGTTGTGGTGTGACCCTGACGTGGTTTCGGTTGTGATGCCTTTTGCCTGTGCTCATGAGTGCTGCATTCAGTGCCGAGCCACTTGTAAGGAAATTTTACAACATTCTCAAAAGTAAGTAGGTTGTTTTTTTTTTGTTTTGTTTTGTTTTGTGGGTGGGGGGTGAACACACGTTACAAGGCTGAGATAGAGAGAGAGAGAGTACATCTTTCTGCTTCAGGAGTCGGGTGGATAAATGTAAACTTGACTCGACGACATCAGGGCAAATAGAAGATTTCCCTCCTCAGAGCTTCTCATCTGGCCACACAAACGGCCTCCCCATTGGGATTATCTTGTCATTTGTTCTCCTAACTTCTATGAAGTTGCCTTCCCTTGTGTCTTGTTTTGGTTTAATTTTTTGTTTTATTTTTTCATGCTTTACATTGTTACGATTTTGGGCGGTGACGCTTACCTTGTGGAGGCTTTGCGGAGCTCAGTTGATGACATGCCCTCCTCTCTTGTCATGAGACGGTTGAATTTTTGCGCCGAAGCCAGACCTAACTTTTGTAGTAAAAGGGTCACTGTTGTAGTGTTTTAAGCTGCACAGTCAATTTGAAACTGTTTACAGCAGAAGATAGCAGTATTAATTACTGAGGAGTAAACAAAGCAAACCTTCAACAACACCTGTCCTTCAGTCATATTCGATACTTCATTTACATTGCATTAGGCATATTTAAGCGTCTTCACCGATGCCTGGTACAACGCTCAGTTCCGTTCACTCGCCGGTGTGTCCGTAACTTGCTGTCATCATCACCATCATTACTACTGTTATTGCTCTTTCTCCATCATATAAATTGTTTACTGCTGATGCTCAACATGGAGCTCTTTGCCTTCCGTAAACAATTAGCATGATCGGCAACAGTTTTACAGCTCTGCTGAGAGCGAGTGAGTCCTTGTGTTTGAACGGTTGAAGGATAGAGGGGACGCTCCGGGTCAAGCTGTTGTAGTTCAGTGTGGAGCCTTGGTTCTGGTCAGACGAGGTGTACCGAGTAACTGACAGTTTGACAAATCCCTGATAACTGATGAGTCAATTAAAGAACGACGCAAATGTGTTTTGTGTCCGACGTCCTCATCTGGATAGTTTGACGGGCATCTCTTCCAACTTGTCAGCGCCATGATAGTGAATGTTTTGGATTTGTTTTTTTCCCTCCCTCCCCGCCCCCCAAACCCAAACCACACTTAAGGCCTCTGGCTGCTCCTTGCTACATTTATTGTTTAGGTACACAGCTCACTTATACATATGAGTATGTATACATACATTAATATACTAAAGCACTATTATCGTGCCACCTCTTATTCTACTCGCTCAGCATTTATATTAAATGATCTCTACTTAGAATCAGCAAACTGTTTTTTGTTTTTTTTTTTGATTTGTTCTCTGTCCACTGGTTGCCAACACAGACTTTATCCTTTCCCAGACGAAGGACTTCTGTGTGCATTGATGTGTGTTCACTTAATCTTTTGTGTTCAAACAAAGATGTTCTTTATAGACTATGCTTCCGAAGAAGACAAAATCTGTAACTTTGGAAAATTTATGGAGATGTTTTGTGTGTGCTAGATTGTATTGTAGAAAATGTACCCTGACTCAGTTTTTTTTTTTTTTTGTTCTTCCCTCCTCCCTCAAAGTGTGCTGTACCGGGTGATAGTGTTGAGGTATTAGAAAAGTGTTGGGGGGTTTTTTGCCCACCATATCCCCCCCCCTCGAAGACAATTAGCAGGAAGTCTCAGATGAAAGGTTAGCCTTAAATCCTTTTGTAATGCTCCTTTACAGTGTCTGTTTCCGGAGCATGAAATGATCTCAAAAAAGAAAGCCCTAATTAACACTGAATTGGCATGATTGACAGATGGACTTGAGCAGACCCCGCCCCCTAAACGCCCCTTTTCAAAACTGTCATATAAAACAGCAACAATGCAATAATGCAAATCTCTAAAGATTTGAGTTAAAATGTATATTTTTATCGTTTTTTTTTAAGGAAATGTTGACCTAGCTGGGTTTGTAGTTTTTTTTTCTTTCCTTTTTTTTTGTTTGTTTGTTTCTGCAATAGTTGAGTGAATTTACTGACCTGCAAGTCTTAGTCTTTAATGCATCATCTGACCTGATGTGTAGTCGACAGCTTTAAGAGTATCCGAGTGACAAGTATTTTTTTTTTCTTCTTCTTTCACAACTATTTACAAGAAATTGGCCTAATAGCGAAGAAATTCAGTCTAAAGTTAAAAGAGGGAATGAGGATTTAGCCATAAATTGGCAACACTTAATGGTGTTAATTCAATATGTTGTTTCTCACTCTTCTAAATGCAAGACAACCAAAACTACTACGATGCTGATTCTACCTGATGGGTCACTGCAGGACCGAATGAGCCTGAAACGCCTTTAGCTTAGCAGACCCGGCAAACAACGACGTATGGGGTGATTTATTCTGTAGTAAATAGCATATATGTTCATTTCAATCTCCTGTGTGTTTTCGTTTCTGAGTGGAACTGCTGCCTATACCCCTCATTTAACCAGTTAATCCCTCCACTCCCACCCTTGACCACTGAACTCTGTTACTGCTGTTTGAGGCTCACATTTTATTCCCGGACTTTCTGGGGAAATTCGCAAATGGATTTTTTATATGATTACTCCCTTGTAAAATATCTCTTAAATTAAGGTACAGGTTTGATTTCAGCAAGAAAAAAAGTTTTTATATGTATATTATACTCCATTAAGGAATGTCTAGAATTATCTTCCTCCAATGTGGATGTAGCCATTATTACGCCATTTTATGACTTTGTAAGAGAATTCACTGTGTGAAAATTGGTTTGCATTTTTGTATAATACAATCTGCTTTTTTTTGTTTGATACGAGAGGGAGGTCAAACTGGAAGTTTGAAGAGAGAAAAAAGTACCTGTGAAATTGAGAAAAACAAAACGTAACTTATGTACAACAGTGATTCTAAGCTGAGGGGGAAAGATTAAATGATATTGCTAACTCTGAATGTTTGTCCTTGTTTTATTTATTTTTTTTTTTTTTCTCATTACACATTGCAGTACCTCGTAGTTTCTTTTTATTTTGACGTCGGATGGTTGAAGTCCTCGCCCTCCTACGGTGATGTAAAGTGTGTTCAGGGTGCGGTTACAGCTGCAGCCAGGAGCCAATACTGCTTTACTATCTGGTCTCAGTCTGCAATTCTGGAGAAAGATACTTGATTATTTGTCAATAAGTAATCAGCACTATGACGTTTTCATCGCAAAACTGGGGCACAGTGCAGACGTTTTATTATCCAAGTGAATCTTAACCATCAGCTGTGCTTTTACCTAATCAATACTCAAATGCTGAAAATTAATATCTGAATGTACTATTGTTTAGAGCAGCCTTCTTTGCACTGGACATTTCTGCCCGCTTTAATGAATCATTCATTAACAGAGACTGCGTGAGAGAAGGAAGATTAATTTTTAAGCCCTTTCAACTGTTATTGGACAGTGAGACAGAAACAGACAGGACCCAGACATGGACTGTAGTTATGGGGCTTGTGCTGTAACCAATTAGCTATTAAGGTGCTTCTATCTATGGAAAACATTAAGTTATTGCATGTGGTGACACTGGGTGGGGGGGTGGTCAAGACACAGGAATCTCTGGAGGACATGTTGAGAGTTCTACATGCAAAATGTTAATCAAGTAAAGTCCTTATCTTTAGCGCTGTCTCGTGCCTGAACGTTGAAAGATGCATCCTGACAATTCGACCACACAAACTTACACGACAGCTGTGTTTCTGCAAAGGCTAATATTTATTTAGATTTTTTTACAATATCATCTACTGACCTATGATTGCAATATCCAGTCTGCCTTGCTTTACAGTTCCTATAAATTATTAATTATTCAGGCTTTTTTTTTTTTTTTTTTTTGCATTTATTTCCAACAAAACAAACTGTGTCAAAGTGAGGACAGATTTTTACAAAGTCATGTCATTTTATTAGAACTGTGAAGTATCTAATAAGGCATTGCATAAATATTCATCTCCTTTAGAGTGATTCGCCTAATTCTACACAGGTGCAGCCTATTGGTGCAGGAAGTCACACAGTTATTGAATGAACGCAGCATGAAGACGTGGATCTGAAAGGTCCAGCCACTGGTGCATCCGTAGTCCTGCCAACGCCATGAAGACAAAAGAACAGTCAAAACATTAGTCAGGGAATGGACACGAGAACATTTCCAAGTCACTGAATATCCCTTGAAGTACAGTTAAATCCTCAAAAACTTGAGTGACCATGCAAGACAGACATCTAGTGAAAAATCCCACCAAGACACCCACTCTGAACTTCTTCCATCCTTCTGTGTGTGTGCAGTTTGTGTACACGTGCCGATGGGTTTACCCTTTTCAGAAGAGGCAGCTGGAGATGTATGAACTTTACATCATGGAGTCTCCTCGTAAAACTGTTCCACACAAAGATAATAAACAAAATGAAGCAATTAAAATCTTCAAAATGCATTTCAGGAAGTGCCATTATGAACCAACCTGGTTCTTGGCTAAACACACCTCACGCTTTTCTACGTTTTGTTACTCCACAGTTGCTGGATCCCAAGAAACACGTCTTCCATCATGCAAACTCGTCAAAGCGGCCATGTCCGCCTCCTCCAGCTGAAACTTCAACACCTGTAGATGTGAGACGGCAGAGGACAAGGAGGAAGAAACAGCAGGTGAACTAATGACGACTTTCACTTGTAATGAGTAACACAGAAAACTCAATGTTGATAATCTGCAAAGGATCTTCCATTAAAACTGACACAATGGTGTTGCCTTTAGAAGGACATTTGAATAGGAGGAAATGAGTTTAATCATTGTTGTCACCATATACAGTGACCTATAGTGACATCCAGGTGATTTTTGCCAAACAAGGCACCGAGGTTTGGACTGAACCATAGCCTCCGAAGAACAGTTTTGACCCAACAGGTTTAAAAAGGCTACTGAAAGTGAATCAGTTCCATCAGTTATCCTTTTAAGGTCTTCTTGCTGTTTCAGTTCAATACACAACATTCTGCTTCACTGCCTGAAAGATATTTGGGGGCCAGAGCAATCATATTATTTGTTTATCAATGAACAATGAATGCATTCTGTGTCATTATGCTTGGTCTATCACATCATCATCTTTCTTACAGGTCTGCAATTTTGAGTGCTTAAAAGCTAAAAGGTTGAAAAGACAAAGTAATGGACGGTTTAACTCACCTCCCAGTTTTCTTGCACCCTGCTCTTTTTGGTGGATTTCGGTATCGTAACAATTCCGGTCTGAGACAAATTTAGAAAACATGAAATTTGCAGGTTTATTAGGGAAAACACAGAAACTTCACTCTCAAACCTGGGCAGCAAATATGTGAGCGACAACCTGAATACTCCAGCGAATGCAGATCTGAGAGGGGGTACGTTGATGCTTTTCCGCTATCTGGCAAACAACGGGGTTGCTTAGGAGTTCACCCCTTGCCAGAGGACTGAACCCTGTGAACACAATCCCCTCCTGACGGCAGTAATCCATCAGGTCTTTGGGCTGCTGGAAAGGATGGTACTCCATCTGATGGGCGAAAATCAGCATGACAGTAAAGAGAGATGTTAAAGATATAAATCATCTCACTCTGCTATTGAGTCATTACTTTATAATGGTAAAAATGGCACGCCAGAATTTATTAGCGTGGACATAGGGGCTCGAACAGACTGCAGCTCTGCTTGATGCTGCTGACCCCCCCAGACCCAGAAAAGCAGCAGAAAATGGATGGATGATGGGAATAATCTCGCAATGCAGCAAATCACACCAATGAAGAATGACATAGAATTTAAATCTGGGATGAATAAAAAAAAATACAAGACCATCTCTTGTTCTTAAAATACACACAACCCTCCCCCTTTTTTTAGTTGTATTATTAGTATGATGAGATGATCAACCATAAGGGTGACTAAACCTACAGTCAGTGGCGGGCTTTATCATTTTAAATCTGAAAAATATAAGTACTGCCAGTGTAGCTACAAGGACAGACACTCATGAAGGGGGTAATTCCCCCTCACTGCCATCGCTACGTAACTATTTGGACCATGTGCATTACCTCCTCTTCTACGTTTGTCATATCATCTCTAAACTGATCCTTTCCTCCTCCAAACCTGGTCTAAACTTGTTTATGTGGTTTCCAGCAAAATAAACACATTCAATTATACTGAAGCATTTCAGAAAAAAACAAAAAACAAAACGTGACCTGGTTAACATGTGGCACCACGCTACAGTCTTCCTTCAGCTGCTCCAGGTGGTGGACCACGAAGTTGCTCACCCCAATAGCGCGGCACACCCCTATAAAGACAAACAGATAGTTATGCTCTATAAAATACTCTATAGTCTTATATTGCTTTATTTACTGTTGACACAAAGTCAGTTATAACATGACTGTAGTGATGTCTAAATGTTACTTGTCCAGCTACAACATTAGATCTGATCTTTAATGCAGTTATTGAACCAACTCTAGGGGTAAAAAACTTGTTGTGTGTACTATCATCAACGGCTGGTCTGGCAACCTGTTGTCAACTTCGAGGCTATATTTGTTTTACTTAGACGAGGGGTGTCGAACTCCGGTCCTCGAGGGCCGCAGTCCTGCATGTTTTAGATGTTTCCCTCTTCCAACACACCTGATTCAAACGATCAGCTCATCATCAAGCTCTGCAGAAGCCTGATAACGATCCTGATCATTTGAATCAGGTGTGTTGGAAGGGAAACATCTAAAACATGCAGGATTGCGGCCCTCGAGGACCAGGACTGGACACCCATGAGTCTTAGACGTTTCTGTACTGCAACACATCTGACTCAAATTAATGGATCTCCAGCAGCTCGTTGTCAAGCTCTACACAAGTCTCCATTGATCTGAGTCGGGTGTGTTGCAGTACGGAGACGTCTACAACCTGCAGGACAGTAGCTCACGACGACCGGAGTTGGAGATCCCTGCTACAAGAAACGAGTAGGTTCTAATGAAGACGACCCTGACCGTCCTTGTAAAGTTCCTCCAGAGCTCTCCAGGTCTCAGCTCTTATCTCCCTGTTGGAACAACCAGGTCTCATCGCGTCTGGCCAGTGCAGCAGGTACAGATCTGAAAAAGGAGGCAGGTGACGATTTAATGAAGTGCAAAAGACAAGAAGAACCAAGTTTGGAGAGTAAAGAATTCCACAATAAGAAAAAATAAGTGAAAAACACCGATTATTGGCAAAACTACTATTGGTGCATCTATCATCACAGGTTAAAAAATGCCAACACAGAAAACTTTAGACTCTGTTGGGTTCATGTTTAACACGACGTTACCAAAATATTCAAGCCCCATGTTCGAGCAGGAGTCAAGGCAGGTCTTTTTTGCAGATTCGTATCCATAGTCTGCGGACCACAGTTTATTGGTGATCCACAGATCACTCCGCGGCACTCCACTTTCTTTGATAGCCTTTCCCAGCTCCTCCTCACAGCCGTAGTACTTTGCTGTGTCGATGTGTCGCAGGCCGCAGTCAGTGAGCGCATACACAACAGCATCATGACAGTATCCACCGCGGTGTGATGTGCCTGACACAGACAGGAAATATAACAATATTAAAAAATAAAATAAAATACTACATCCAGAAAGAATAGAAATTCAGTTCAATCCATTTTAACTGTTCGAATACAGTTCCTACATTTATATCACATTAGGATCATTGTTAAGAAAGCAAATATAAAAAGATCTTTAAAGAAAAAATACACGTGTGTGAATGAGTTTTAAATGAACTGTAAGCATCATTATTTTTCATGAACTATAGATGAAGATCAGTTTTGCATGTTTACATCCTTGATTATTAACTTTTTGAAAAATGTATGGCCTTTAAATGACCTTTGATTTATGCAGTACAATATGAAACACTACTTATGTTTCTTCACAGATTATCTGAAGGTTGTGTAATGCTTCTATGAACATGATGTGATCCTATCACATGTCCAGAAGTAAAACACACCTAATCCCAGTATTGGAATGCGCAGACCATTGGAAAGTGGGACTGTGGGACAGCTCACTGAAGTTAAAGACATGATCCTCGACTTCAGCAGCACTGAGCGGCCTGGATGAAAAAAAAATAAGTGTTATTCTTTGTTTTCTAGCGACATAGTTTAGCTGTGGCCTCGCATTACTAACATGAGTTGTGGAGCACATTTCATAGTGCGCTCACACCAGCTGTCCATTCAGGAAAACGGGCGGACTTGCATCAAACATGGAGCATTTGGATTTGATTTCATTTGATTTGAACCTTGCAATGAACCACACCGATATCCTGCCATCTCTTGCGATGAAACACTGTGTGATAATTATGTCGTTCCCACGCATTAATAACTGGGAACGAGTTATTTGTATTTTTTTTAATCGATGTCACCAGACACCTGTGCCCTAAGCCATTATTACAAACCTGCTATGCTTTACCACTACCCACAGCTTCCTGAAGCTCTAATGTCAATATTGCATTAACATTGCCAGTGAAACTTAACTTACCGGAGCTTTGCCCTGAACAGAAATGGAAAAGAGTTGTCGCTTTTTTCCCAAACTTTGTCAACATCTCTGCTGAGGGTGAAGATGAGCCGAACAAAAATGGCGTCGATCAAAATATATGTCAATAAAACATTTCCGTGACACTGTAACGTGCTACGGAAGCCCTAAGAGGACGTGTTTTTTTTGTTTTTGTTTTGTTTGTTTGTTTGTTTTTTAACAAGCCGTTTTCGGAGTTTGTTTTCCTGAGATATTTATTCATGATCTCGCGAGTTAGGTGAAGTTACAAAAGATATTCACAGATTCGCGGTTCCCGTGTCAATAAGTAATTACCGGAACATTGCTTTCAGAAAAACAAACATTGATGTCTGAAGCCAGTTATGTAGACTGCAAGCTCCAGCTCCATTTTAAACATTACAAGCCGCCCTTCGTACGCGACTTCAATTGACTCCAATGCGCTGCCGGCTCTGGCTCGGTCGAGCAGGGACCGTCTACAAAGTGCAATACTGAAGAGAGACGCTACAGAAAAAATCAATAGTGTTGCCAAGGAATAGTGTAGGGTAAAATAAATCAATCCACATAACAATCCATCGAGGCAGGTTATCCTACCATAATTATTTGGGGGAAATATGGTTTATGTAATTTTTATGACTATTTCTGTCATAAAATGTGTAATAACTTTGCTATTGAAAGTTAGAATAGCACCAAAATCCCCTCACATATAATTGAGCTCCTTCTGTTTATACTACAACAATTATTGGGGGAAATTATGTTTTAATGTAATTCTTATGAATTTTATAGACATAAAATATGTAATAACTATGTTATTAAAGGTTGTAATAGTACAAAAAACCCCTCACATATAATTGAACTCCTTTTGTTTATACTACAACAATTATTTTGGTAAAATATTGTTTTATGTCATTTTAATTAATTTTATAGACATAAAATATGTAATAACTATGTTATTAAAGGTTGTAATAGTACAAAAATCCCCTCACATATAATTGAGCTCCTTTTGTTTATACTACAACAATCATTTTGGGAAAATATAGTTTTATGTCATTTATATGAATATTTCTGCCATAAAATATGTAATAACTTTGCTGTTAAAAGTTGGAATAGTACCAAAATCCTTTCACACATAAATTAGCTCATTTTGTTTATACTACAACAATTATTTGGGCAAAAATATGGTTTCATGTCATTTCTATGAATTTTATAGACATTAAATATGTAATAACTATGTTATTAAAGGTTGTAATAGCACCAAAATCCCCACACACCTAAATTAGCACCTTTTGTTTATACTACAACAATTATATTTGGAAAATCTTGTTTTGTGTAAGTTAAATGAATTTTATAGACATAAAATATGTAATAACTATGTTATTAAAGGTTATAGTAGTACAAAAATCCTCTCACACACAATGGAGATCTTTTTGTTTATACTACAACAATTATTTGGGGAAAATATGGTATTATGTAATTTTTTATGAATATTTGTCATAAAATATGTAATAACTATGTTATTAAATGTTATAGTAGGACCAAAATCCCATCACATATAACTGAGCTCCTTTTGCTTATACTACAACAATTATTTGGGGAAAATATGTTTCAATGTAATCTTCTGATTGATTGAAAAAGCAATGATCAAAGGCAATTAGGAGCCCATGTGAATAGCTTATGAGCACTGTGAGGTAATTAAAGGGATATTACAACCTTTAATAGTGTACTTTTTGAAATTTTATGTACAGAAATATTCGTAGAAATTACACTAAAACATATTTTCACCAAATAATTGTTGTAGTATAAACAAAAAGATCTCCATTGTGTGTGAGGGGATTTTAGTGCTATTCCAACCTTTAATAACATAGTTATTACACATTTTATGACAGAAATATTCATAAAAATTACATAAAACCATGTTTTCTCAAAATAATTATTGTAGTATAAACAAAAGGAGCCCCACTGTGTGTGAGGGCATTTGTGTACTACTATAACCTTTAATAACATAGTT